ATAATGAATAATAGATATTAATAATAGACTAAATAATAGATATTAATAACAGAATTAATAATAGATATTAACAATAGATTAATATCTAACAAATACACCTATCATTAATAACAAAAACATCAAAATAGAATAACTTCGATGTGATCAAACTAAATAGCATGCATATTTATCAGACTCTGCACAGAATCTCCGTCACGTGACGGACACGTCATCGTAGGGCAAGAGGTTAACAAACCAATTTAACGTCTTATCGGTGAAATATAAAGAGCTCAATTACGCCTGAAAATAAAGCAAAATGCACGGCAATCGGTCGATCGAAAGTAACCGGGCTCCACCACCCTATCGCCTGCGAGATTGAACGAACTCCTCTTTCGCAGCTTGCTCGGTCATTGTCCGTTTAACATACCCGTTCTTCCTTTCGTTTCACGTTTCTTGACCGTTTCCATTATTCTTTACCGTCTCGCGTTTCTCCGTTCGACCCCATAGAAGTCTGGCGAACGGCCGCGCAAGCTCCGCGCCGCCGAGATCTCCTCTTATTCCCCGGCGCGATTCCGATTTTTTAATAAAACAGAGCACGGCAACCGCGGGGCCGCGGAGCGGATAAGAAATACAAAGTGTGCGGGTCCCCGCTTCGCCGAGCACGGTCGTCGACAGCGATTTCAGTCGATAGGTCGCGCCCAAAGGTGTCCGTTCTCGCGAGAACGCGCCCGGGAAGATTGCAGTTTCGAATTTTCCAGCGGAGCGAACGCGAATGGTTCGCAGTTTGCATAGAAAGTGGCCCGCGATCCCGTTGTCGTCTGAAGAATCGCTCGTATTCCCCGGCAGCCGCCATGCTGCAGCTGTGCTCCTCCCTCCTCCCTGCCCTCGTCCGCGCCATCGGGCGACGCGAGCTTTAATCGTAATTAGCTGGAACTTTTAATTATCTGTCAGGCCGACACTCGAGCCCCGACGGTTATTTCCTCGGTGTCTGAGACGCGGTTCTGATTAAACGGCCCGGACGACGGGAACGCGGCTTAATAAGCGAAACACCGGCGAGCCCGGCGAATTAGATTCGTTAAAAAATTACGCGCCGCCACGTGACCGGACGCGCGGATTCTGCGACTGTCACGTCGGATCACCGGCGATCGTAATTTCGCAACGACCACGCGACGAGGACTGTAATTTCTTTCAGATATGTTCGGAGGTTGAAATTGAAACCGGCAGATTTGAGAATTCTGAGTCGTGATTTTTTGGGGTCTCGCGGCTCGTTTTTAGAGAAGCTCGAAGCAGTTGGCTAAAAATGTAGCGGTCAGCGTGTCGGTATATTTTATTATTTAACTTTTTTATTTTCATTTTTTTTTATACTATTCGAAGGCAATTCGGAGGCCATTTGACACGATTCGAAGCAATTCGGAAGACATTTGACACGATTCGAAGCAATTCGGAGGCCATTTGACAAGATTCGAAGCAATACGGAGGGTACATGACATGATTCAAAAGTAATTGGCCACATGACACGATTCGATGGCAATTTGAAGGCCACGTGACACGATTCAAAGAAAATTCAGAGGCCACATAATATGATTCGAAGGCAATTCGGAGGCCACATAAAATTCGAAGGCAATTCGGAGGCCATTTGATACGATTCGAAGCAATTCGGAGGGTACATGACACGATTTGAAAGCAATTCGAAGTTCATTTGACACGATTCGAAGACAATTTGAAGGTCACATGACATGATCAAAGGCAATTCGAAGGCCATTTGACACGATTCGAAGCAATTCGGAGGCCGCATGCCATGATTCAAAGACAATTCAGAGGCCACGTGACACGATTCGAAAGCAATTCAGAGGCCATATGATACGATTCGAAGGCAATTTTGGGGCCACATACCACGATTCGAAAGCACCTGTGCCTACTACAATAAATTCTCTGCAATTGTCTCCCAGCTCGTAAACAAAAATGGAGACTTTGGGAAGAGGAGACGCGATTATTGTAGCCTTGCGCTTCGTTTTTATAGTTACCGATTGTCAACAACTATAAAAACGAGCCTCAAGGCTCGAATTAATCGTATCTTCTCTTCCCAAATTGTCCATTTTCGTTTCCAAGCTGAGGGTCAATTAGGGAGACTTTACTGTGGTCTCACACCAAAACAGACCATTTTGTATCGTCTTCCAGAAATTCGCGTCGCGTGCCGCATCACGCTTGACCGACTCCGTCGACCCTTTTCATCGACGCAGCGATAAATCGCATAGGCGTAGCACTAGCGCCTGGAAATTCGCGGCAACCCGAAATTTGGCATTTCCGGGAGAAATTACCGTATCTCGCGCGGTTCCGTCGAGAAGATGGACGCCGAATTTATTCGCGTTTGGTTCTGTTGCAGACGTTCTACCCCCTGGTGGCGCGTGCCGAGCTCCCCGAGGACGCCATGCCGCTCGAGTTCATGCAGGATCGGCGACTCGACTTCGTCGACTACTCGAAACTCAAACCGTTCACCGTGAGTATCTCGATCTTTTCATCGACCTATCTCAACCGTTCCTCGACCTATCCAAACGTTCCTCGACCTGCGAGGAACGACGATTCGCCCGAAAATCTGTGCGCGAGAAAAACACTCGAAGAAAACCCTTTCGCGTTTGTCGGTGTCTCGTTGAGACAACCCCGAGGCTTTCTCTTCTCCGCAAATGTCGTTCTTCGATGAGGTAACGGCGACGCGTCGAACGTCCGCGCGAGCCACGGCGAGCCGAAGTTTAGTTTCAGTTGTACAGCGGCGTGTTGTATAACCGTTCCCTTCGGTTACGTAGTTTGTTTCGCTTGGAAATTTGCAGATGCATCTTTCACTCACCGATTCTCAAACATTCGGGCTGCGAAGTTTAAGCAAGACGCGTTATGCGGACATTTGTTCACGACACGACGCGTCTGGCGAGGAGAACTTCGCGAATTCGTTTGTCGCTTTAGTGTACAAACATGAAAATTCGCTTGTTGCGATACGAACGCGCGTTTCTTCCAGTGGTTTGCGATACGTGTTATGTTGTTCCGTGAGAGATTCCCGAGCACAGTGCATTTTACTAATTTCTTTTGTTCTCTGTTTACGCCTTAAGGTCTATTTAATGTTCGTTTAACCCGTTTAGCGCCGAGCGACGATATATCGTTGCGTCTCCGATGGCGCCTAACTATTTGGGATTCATTAGTGTGTGCATTAGTAAGCATCGATGCTAAATAAATTATTTGCGCGAGTAGTAATTAGTAAATATTACACATTTTCACTAGCTAGACAACTTATGTTTAGTTATATAGTAATAATAAGTAAATATAACACATTTTCGATACCAAGGTAACTAAATACAAGTTATCTGAGTATTGAGAATAAATGATTTGTGTGAGTAATAATAAGTAAATATTACACATTTTCGCTAGCTAGATAACTTATGTTTAGTTATATAGTAATAATAAGTAAATATTACACATTTTCACTAGCTAGATAACTTATGTTTAGTTATATAGTAATAATAAGTAAATATTACACATTTTCACTAGCTAGATAACTTATGTTTAGTTATATAGTAATAATAAGTAAATATTACACATTTTCACTAGCTAGATAACTTATGTTTAGTTATATAGTAATAATAAGTAAATATAACATATTTTCAATACCAAGGTAACTAAATACAAGTTAACTGAGTATTGGGAATAAATAGAAAGTGGCGGGTTCCTCAGGACATTTGAAGCAACTTCTTCCTTTACAAAAATGTTCTCCGAGGCACCGTTAACGAGTTATCAACGAAAAACAGTGACCAATGAGAGGCGAGCTCGGCTGGCGCGAGGCGATCGAGCCAACGAGCGGAACTGGGCTTCGCGCGCTGCTTGCCTGGGCCGCCTCGCGTCAGCCGTACTCGATTCTTATTGGCCACTGCTTTTTCGTTAATAACTCGTTAACGGTGCCTCGGAGAACATTTTTGTAAAGGAAGAAGTTGCTTCAAATGATCCGAGGAACCTGCCATTTCCGGATTGCGAGACATTTTTGGGACATCCTGTAGACTATTGTAAATCGATGTGAAGACAAAAGAAGTGTGAAACGATGCATATGAAGAGGATTATTTGGTTAAAACGATGAGCGAGTGAGCTACTAGAGCAAGCCACTATAGTGGCGCGTCGTGCTTAAAAGGTTAATCTCTCGTCCGCTGCGCATTCCGCGCTATTTAGCGCATTCCTCGAATATCGGGGAACCTCGCAGAACGTCGCGCATCTTCGTGGAGCCATAACAACGGTATTAGCCATGCCCAGGTTTTTTCATAGGGCCGAAGTTTCCCGGCGGCGAAGAACCATCCGGTTCGGCGATGCTCGCTCGCGCGCTCGCTCGCTCGCTCGTCGTTCTCGATGGCCGCGTTAATCAACGTCGAAGTCAGGGTCCGAAGTTGCCGCGAACGAGCCAGTTACGTGGCCCGTGTCATTTTCCCGACTGCTCGCGATAGAATTCCCGGCCGATTAAGAGCCGCGCGAGTTTCGGGGGGGCCGGTTGCCGCTCGCCCCTCGAAACTTAGTTCGTTAGAGAGCGGCGGGGAAACTTGCCCGAGGAAGTTTCCGGGGCTGTTGACCTCCCCTCAGCCCTCCGGGAGCCGTTCCCCCGGCGTTCGTCTGCGAGAAATCTTTCCAGGGACGACGATCCCTCGTTGCCAGGCCGAACCACGCCAATAGGTCAGACCCGAAGTTGCCGACAGTTCGCGAGTGTGTCACCGTTTCTCTCGCTTCGGGCTTCCTGGTTGTCGGCCCGAGCGTCGACGCGTTGCTCTGTTTTCGACCGAGATCCCTCGCTCTCGGATATATCGGCAATTTCGTTTGCTTAGCCGTGGGACCGCGAGCTGTGTCGCCGCGCGATAAATCTCTCGGCGAACGACGCCGCGCGGCAGCTCCAGCTTCGCTCCTAAATTAAACGGCTGATTGACAGCCGGAATGTCTCGCGTTTATGCATGAGCGACGGGTTGCTTCCAGATTCAGACGGGAAACGACGGCGCGGGATATTCGCCGCTGAACCGCGAAAGAATTCAGTTTTTTGCTCGATGCGCCGGTTTCAAGAATCGCGGGACCGGTGATCTGGCGCGCGGACCCACGATCGGGTCCGGAGGGACCCACGATTCTTATGCTCGCAAATATTTCGAAGTGAAATTTTGCTGTTGTTATCATCGTTGTTATTATTATTATTATTATTATTATTATTACTATTATCTTGCAGTATTTATTTTTAAAACTTTTGAGGACTGTCGTATGACCAATCGTGTGCTCGAACAGTATAAGAGTGCAAAAGATAACATTTATTCTTTACAATTTATGCACGAAATTTGTTGACTCGAAACTGATACTTCCTAACTGGTACTTCCGGGAAATGAGAGGTTCCTGAGATCATTTGAAGCAACTTTTTGATTAACGAAAATATTCTACGAGGCTTCGTTCACGAGTTATTAACGAAAAATAGTGACCAATGAGGGGCGAGCTTGGCTGGCGCTAGGCGGCCGAGCCAACGAGCGCACGGAGCTCTGTCCCGCTCATTGGCTCGGTCGCCTAGCGCCGTGCGAACTCGCCCCTCATTGGTCAGTGTTTTTCATGAATAATTCGTAAACGAAGCCTCGTAGAACATTTTCGCTAAGGAAAAAGTTGCTTCAAATCACCTCAGGAGTTCCTCATTTCCCGAAGATACCATAATTTTCGGACAACCTGTATATACTCGTTAATATAACCCTATAGTATATTACTCTATAGAATGGGTCCCTGCCGATCAGACTACTAATCTTATTCGCATACGATTAGTTCGATTATCTCGAATGGAATTCTCGGGCGAGTTTGTTCGAGTTCGGCGAGATTCGCCTCCGGATGGAATCCAGACTCTACAGCAATGTCTCTCTAATTGACGCTGAGGTTGTCCACAAAAATGGACAATTTGGGAAGAGGAGATACGATTATTCGATCGTTGCGGTTCATTTTTATAGTACACGAATTGTCAACAACTATAAAAACGAGACGCAAGGCTCGACCAATCCAAAATTGTCTATTTTTGTGCGCAATCTGAACGCAAATTAGGGAGAAATTACTGCAATTGTATCTTCTCTTCACAAATTGCGCGTAGAAATGGACAATTTGGGAAGGGACAATACAATTATTCGAGCCCTGCAGCTCGTTTTTATAGTTATCGATTGTCAACAACTATAAAATATAATAACTATAATACTATATATACTATATAGTATAATACTGTATACTACAATATACTATGATAACTCTATTATTATAGTTATCATTAGTATATTAGTATATTAGTTATAGTATATTAGTATATTAGTATATTAGTATATTAGTATATTAGTATATTAGTATATTAGTATATATTAGTATATTTAGTATATTAGTATATTACTAATATAATAACTATAATAATCGTATCTTCTCTTCCCAAATTATCCATTTTTCTGCACAATCTGAGCGCCAGTTAGGGAGACATTACTGTAATCACTGGACACAGAGAACAGTGTTGCTATTCAAGTAGAAACGGACGGCATCGATCGGACGCGATGATAATCGAGGCTGTTGCAATTGGTCGGAACGGATATCGCGGCTCGATTCAGCGATCGCAAAGATGTCTTCGCGATCCGGGCCGGACCGGGCCGGGCCAGGCCACGAAACTCCAACATGCTCTCGTTTCCAGCAATTTACATTGGCACAGGCAAGGAGGTGGGGATCGGTCCGAGACACGCGGTTCGCGGCATCGAGTGGAACTAATTCCCGGGTAATCGCCTTTGCTACGTAACCCGGCGAAGATCGGCGAACTGCTGCACGAACCGTTCGGCGTGCAGCTGATCCTAACCATGGCGGTGCGATGAAGTGCGCGGTGGCGCGGTCCTCCGTGGAAGTTCCTCGCCGCACGTGAACCACTTACCGGCCGGCGTCCGCGAACACCCGGCAAACTTTTAACGGTAAAAGTTCCGTTAGTTTAATTACTTGGAAACAATTCCCCGCATCCGCGACCACCCACCCGCCGACGTAAAAACTTCTCGAAGCACGCCTCCGCTCCGCCGCCGACGCTTCCGTTCGCCGATCGATCCGAACGCTCCCGCGACTTCTGCCCTTCGTGATCGACCATAATAATTCGCTGTTTCGGATCGACTGCTTCTCCGTCGCATCTTCTCTCCACAGTGTCGCCCCGCTTTTTATTCTTCTGCTCCGCGCGCGCGCAGATTGTGCAGAAAAATGGACAATTTGGGAATATATTCGAGAGTTGCGGCTTGTTTCTAGTGGTTGACAATCGGCAATTATAAAAACGGGCTGCAAGGCTCGAATAATCGTATCTCCTCTTTCCAAATTGTCAATTTTTGTTTCCAAGCTGAGGGTTAATTCTGTCTCTTATACACATCTAGATGTGTATAAGAGACAGCGCTCAGATTGTGCAGAAAAATGGACAATTTGGGAATATATTCGAGAGTTGCGGCTGTCTCTTATACACATCTAGAT